GTGTAAGTATATGTAGTGTTGTTTGCTTCATGGCTTACAATGCATTAATGATTTGAGTGATTTTACAATACTTAGTCATTCCGCCAAATGTCCTTTAGGCATGCAAAATGCTCTTTGACATACATATTATAAAACAAATGGTTCCAGCTCTAAAATTCGTTGATATGACCACACATTGAATGCGATAACTAGCTAAACTGCGACATATATTGGCGACATATATTGAAATTATCGAAATATCGCAAATGTAAATATCGCAATATGCATATCGCAAGGGCGTGCGATATCTGAATCATTTTAATAATAGGCTACTTAAATCAAAACGTTGCAAAAGGTCAAAGTTTTAGTTCGACGCATATAGCAGAGAATTGCTTGACGTTAAAAAGAGTTAAGTGCAATAATTTTTATGTAATGCTAAAACACTGCTGGTCACTTTCAGAAGTTGTAGTGATTCTTTCTTTTCCAAGAAAGAATGTGAAACAAATTGGTTATATAATTTTAATTTTTAAATATTTTAAAATATAATTGAAATTGATTTTACACACTTTAAGCAATATCGTATCGCATATCGAATATCGCATTTTTTAACAAGGTATCACATTTTTCTTCAATATCGCACAGCCCTAGCGACTGCAATTCTATAGTAATGAGCCAAGTTGCAATGTTGGAATTATTATTAATAAACATAATTATTTATTGAAAATTGATGTCTTTTATCATATTGCTGTTGCCGCTGTTTAATAAAACCAAGAAAAAAGCCATGAAATAGCTATTTTACCATAGTTAAAGGGATTCCACCAAACTTCGTTCCTTAAAACATCCCATAGCCGTGCTAAATGCTCTTTGAATTTATATATGAAACTCAAAACATTACTCAATAAATCTTTACTCAAAAAAGGACTAATTAATGAAAATACAGCATGATCCAGGTCCTCACATTGCTGCTAACAAAAAAGATGCATCAAGTCTTACCTTCAGCGAGTCGAAGCAGGCGATCACCCGTCCGTTCTCCACCTGGCAGCTCTTGGGCGGGTGGGCGAATTTGCATTCCTCGTCGCTGCGCGAGCACGTCCCTCTCTGAAACTGCCGGCACACCTCGAGCGTCAGCCATTTTGTGTCTCGCATCGACGCAATGTTTAAAGCCATAGCTGTTTGAGAACCTCTATGGTGTCAGTAGTGGGACTGTTGATTTGGGTTCAAAAGTCCGCGAACGTATTTCTGTGTTGTTTTGTGTCTAGTTTTGTGGTTTGTTGGCAAGGCCCTTTAAATAGAGATGTCACATTCAGACCCCCGGTGGCTGTCGCACGGGAGATGGCCGCTATCAGTGAAGCTGTCAATCTCTGCCAAGTCGTTCATCAGTCATTTATTCCCAGGTGCACAACACTGGCGCGACAATAAGAACATGCTCCAGGTCTCCAAATGGTCTTGAGCCGATGGTTGTGGACAGCAATATCTGAAGGCAATGGCTCTCCTTGGAATGATATCTAATAATGTCCGTGAATGGAAAGAGCGTGTCAGTTCCTTGTGCTTTGGCAAGTCTGAGGAATTGAGATCTTTTTGGAGGCCAAGCCAGTGTTGTTTACAATGTAGGATGAGAGCGGTGAGCAGCTTCAAGTAGGAATGTCAGAGAAGGCACTTTCTTCTGTATGGGATCTGGAAAAGAAGGCCCAGATTTGATTTGAGTAAGAAACATGGACAACAGAAGCTTTCCACATGGATTTGACCATTTCTAGGTGGCACAAAATTGAATTTCCTACATTTAAGTATTAATTTAAATATTTCTAGTGCTCATGGAGCAACTGCTAGGGTCAGAATATTTAACAAAATGACAAAAAAGATTTCAAAACCACCTATTATGAAGCTTAAAGTAACCTAAAGTAAGAAAATAAATATTTTAAATCAAGGATAGCATATTAAACCACCTAAAAGAAATAATAGACAGATGTTTTCCTGGAAATTTGAAGCATTGCTGTTACCTAATCAGAGGCAACATATTTACAGTTAGTAGGGTTGGGCCGATAGACGATGCCATCGTCCATCGCCGATGGCTGATAGACATCACGATGTTGAGCCGACATCGCGATCCCCATCACCCCCTCCCCCCCACAGGTCACATCCGATTGGTAATCACATTCACGAAATCAACAGATATGTCTGTGATTGGCTAAAATGCTCAACACTGCAAAAACCGGAGATGTATGCCACGGGGGTATAACAGTTAATAGGCTGCGCTCCAGACCATCACCACAGCACATCGACATGTCACTTTTTTTTTAAATTAAAGTAGACATATTATGCCACTTTTTACAATATGTAATATAAGTCAGAGATGCACCGATTGCAAATTTCATGGCCGATTCCGATTTCTGATTTTTTGTTAGTGTGATCTGCCGATACCGATTTTTGCC